TTGGGGGGGGGGGGAGAGAAAGGAATCTTCGACGTTGGATGGGGGCGATTAGATCAATTTGTTGTCACAGAAACGGCTCGTGCATATTAAACACGGGGTGGTTGATAAGATCGGAAACGGATCTCAGCTCTGCCTCTTATTCCTGCTCCCTCACTCCTAATAATAATAATAATAATAATAATAATAATAATAATAATAATAATAATAATAATAATAATAATAAAATGAATTAATAATAATAATAAAAATAAATTAATAATAATAATAATAATAATAATAATAATAATAATAATAATCATAATAATCATAATAGTAAAGTTGGAAGGGACCTTGGAGGTCATCTAGTCCAACCCCCTGCTCAGGCAGGAAACCCTATACCGTTTCAGACAAATGGCTGTCCAGTCTCTTCTTAAAAACTTCCAGTGTTGGAGCATTCACCGCTTCTGGAGGCAGGTGGTTCCACTGGTTAATTGTTCTCACTGTCAGGAAGTTTCTCCTTAGTTCTAGGTTGCTTCTCTCCTTGATCAGTTTCCATCCGTTGCTCCTTGTCCTGCCTTCAGGTGCCTTGGAGAATAGCTTGGACTTTTATAGTATTTTATTTATGTGGCCTATAGGTTTTGCCTCCAGAAGCGGTGAATGCTCCACCACTGGAAGTTTTTAAGAAGAGACTGGACAGCCATTTGTCTGAAATGGTGTAGGGTTTCCTGCCTGAGCAGGGGGTTGGACTAGATGACCTCCAAGGTCCCTTCCAACTTTAATAATAATAATAATAATAATAACAACAATAACAATAATAATAATAATAATAACAACAATATTATTATTATTATTATTATTATTATTATTATTATTATTATTATTATTATTATTATTATTATTATTAATGTTGTAAGCCGTCCAGAGTTACCCTGTGGTAAACTAGCTGGTCAATACATTTAACAATGTACTGAGGCTGTGATCGCTTATTCTACTGTGCTACTGCGTGTCGGAGGGGTTGCAGCCGGAGAGGTCAAGCCAGCCTTTAGGGCTGGTCCCAAAGGTGCTTTTTTCAGGAAGCAACTGGACTTTCTTGTTTTTTCTCTGAAGACGTTTCACTTCTCATCCAAGAAGCTTCTTCAGCTCTGACTGGATGGTAGGGAAGGGAAGGATTTATACTCCTTGCAGACCGCTGGTCATTTGCCTTCTTTTGGAGAGTCGTTGAGGCCACTTGGAGATTTACCTGTGTCCTCGGGGTCACCTGAGTGGTGCAAACGGGTGTGGAGCCTTCTTGGAACTGTCAAAAGGATTGTGTTGTAGACTGCAGATAGACAATGTCGTATCCCCCCTCCGTTTGTTGAGAGAGAGGGCTGTTCAGTTTGGACCTAGATGCCCTCTTGGACCCCTCTCTCAAGCCAGCGGTCCTCTCTGTCCAAAATGTGGACTTTCCCGTCCTCGAAAGAGCGGACTTTGTCTTTCAAATGCAGACGGACGGCTGACTCTGCTCCTGATGGGTTGGTTCTCCTCTGTTGTGCCCAGCGCTTGTGAAGTGCTCATTTTGTTTCCCCAATGTTCCTGTAGTCCGCTTCCGTTTGAGATGCAGACCACACGGACTCGTCCCCAACAGCCTGCGCCCGTCTTCCACAGGGAAGGCACCCCGGGCAGAAAAAAACCATCCTGCAGCCGAGAAGGCTCCACACCCACTTGCACCGCTCAGGTGACCCTGAGGACACAGACAATCTATACTATACCTGTGCATTTGGTTTTTCTTGCCTAGATGTAGAACCTTACTTTTTTCACCATTCAATTTCATTTTGTTAGATAGCGCCCTGTGTTCAAGTCTGTCCAGGTCCTCCTGTATCCTAAGCCTGTCTTCTGGACGGTTGGCTATTCCTGCCAGCTTGGTGTCATCTGCAAATTTGATGAGTTCCTCATCTATCCCCTCGTCCAGATCATTGATGAAGACAAAGGCTGCTTTTTCGAGGACGGGAAAGTCCACATTTTGGACAGAGAGGACCGCTGGCTTGAGAGAGGGTTCCAAGAGCTCATCTAGGTCCAAATTGAACAGCCCTCTCTCTCAACAAGTGAGGGGGGGATACGACATCATCTACCTGCAGTCTACAACACAGTCCCTTCAGCAGTTCCAAGAAGGCTCCACACCTATTTGCACCACTCAGGTGACCCTGAGGAGACAGAGATAAACCTCCAGGTGGCCTCAACGACTCTCAGAGAGAGAACTAATGACCAGATAACTACAAGGAGTGTAAATCCTTCCCTTCCCCGCCATCCGGTCAGAGTTAAAGAAGCTTTTGAAGTCCAGTTGTCTCCTGGAAGAAAAAAAGCCGTAACCTGGAGGACGGAGAATCTCCACAGACCTTCAGGGCTGGTCTTTGAGAACGGCCGATGTGCCTGAGGGCCAGGCAAGAAGGGGGTGCCCCCTTTCAAAAGGGGAAGAGAAGGTTCCTGCAGACTTGTGGGTTGGGATTTTGTTCTGGGGAGACCGCAGGGTCCACACACACACGGTCCGGGCGTGGAGGGGCTCTGCCTTCGTCTCTGCCTGCTTACCTTGCTCTGGACCACGGGCTGCGGGAACTCGCTCATGGCGCCCATCAGCCAGCCCTCCAGGCTCTTGGCAAAGTTGCGGATGGCTTGGGTCAAGGTGCCTGCAGGAGAAGAGAACGGAGCGGCCTCAGCCGAGTCGGGGAGCCCCAACGGGAAGACTTTCACCCGACCCTCGGTGGAAGCTTCACGTCCGCCATCTTGGGCTGTGGCCCAACGGCGGCCCGCAAGAGCTGCTACTGCAGAAAAAGGGAGCTTTGAGCCTGATCTAGCCACCCTCCAAATCCTTGCTTGTTGCAGCACTAGCCGGATTCAAGACTGGCCTCTCGGCCAAGCTGGACCTCTGGGAAGACCAGCAGCATTCTAGAGAAGGCTTCCAGCTCAGGGAGGAACTACGGGGCGCTTGGTGCACTTCTTGCAAATATCTCATTACTTAGCACCAGCACTAAGACTTAAGATACCGCTTCACGCTGCTTTCACAGCCCTCTCTACGCGGTTTGCAGAGTCAGCCTATTTGCCCCCAACCCTCTGGATCCTCCTTTTACCGTCCCTTTCACGCACCGGGAACCGGCCGGAGGACGTCCGGGATCAGGATCTCCACCAGGGTTTGGTACAAGAGGTTGTCGCAGCTTCGCATCCAGGCCAGGACGAGCTCGTACTTGCAGAAGGCCATCAGTTTGTGTCGCGGGAGGACGGCTTCGTAGGGCTCTTCGCTGCCAAGGGAAGGCAGGAGAGCCCGTCGGTCCAAGCGGTCTCGCGTCCCTCTGCCTAAAAATCCGCTCCCAGGCTCACCTCTGCGCCCGGGGGGGGTCCCACAATTCCAGGGCGGGTTTGAAACGGACGCAGTCCTCGCCTTACAACCACTCATTTAGCGACCGTCCGAAGTGATGGCAGCGTTGAAAATTAAGGGACTTACTAACATTTCTCACGCTTACGACCGTGGCAGCATACCCGCGGTCGCGGGATCAAAATTCAAGCTGACTCATATTTATGACGGTCGCAGCGTCCCCGGGGGTCAAGTGACCCCCTTTAGAGAAGTCAACGGGGGGAAGGGGAAGCCCGATTCGGTTAAGAACCGCGTGACTCACTTAATGGCTGCGGTGAGTCACTTAAGGACTCTGGCGAGAAAGGCCGTTAAAACGGGGCAAAACCCGCTCAGCAACTGTCCCGCTTAGCAACGGGAACCTGGGGAATTGCGGTCGTAAGTCGAGGCCACCTGCTCGTGGCGTTACCTGGAGGCCCCGGGGGTGCCGGCGCCTGTCCGGCCCGGAAGGGATTCGGAATTCCAGAAGGAACGCCAGAGTTTCTCCAGGAAGGGCAGCTGGAGGCTCATCACCACCTCGACGTTGGCCTGCAGGGACAGACGACCCCCAAAATCAGATCTAGATGGACAGCGATCCATATTTATATGTTGCTTGTATGTAAGGGTGTAGGTCAGCGATGGCGAACCTTTTAGAGACCGAGTGCCCAAACTGCAACCCAAAACCCACTTATGTATCATCAGGTGCCAGGTGGGCGTGGCCCATTGGGTGGGTGTGGCCAATTGGGTGGGCATGGCCCGTTGGGTAGGCGTGGCTGCGGTGGTAACGGCAGACTGGGTGGGACTAAAAAGTTCAATCAATCAATTCCAGCTTTGCGAGATCTTTTTCTTTCCCGCAAGAAGTTGAAATTGACTGATTGAACCTTTTTTTTTGGGGGGGGGGGCACAGGGCGGCAGAGGCCTAAAGCGAAAAGGTTTTCTAAAACCCAGCTGAAGGCCTAGGACTGGGGCGATGGCGCACGTGCCCACAGAGAGGGCTCTGAATGCCGCCTCTGGCACCCGTGCCATAGGTTCGCCACCACAGGTAGGTCTGTACATATGTTGCATACAGCATGTTTAAAATGTGTGTTAGGTACGTGGACACTTTGAGAGCAAGGAACCAAATTTCATTTTTAATGTGTGCCCTTGTGCCCACAGTAAAAAAATGACAATAAAGATTATCTAATCTATCTATCTATCTATCTATCGGTGTCTGTCTGTCTGTCTGTCTGTCTGTCTGTCTGTCTGTCTGTCTGTCTGTCTGTCTGTCTGTCTATCTACCTATCATCTGTCTGTCTGTCTGTCTACCTATCATCTCTGTCTGTCTGTCTGTCTATCTATCTACCTATCATCTGTCTGTCTGTCTATCTATCATCTCTGTCTGTCTGCCTGCCTGCCTACCTACCTACCTATTATCTGTCTGTCTGTCTGTCTGTCTGTCTGTCTGTCTGTCTGTCTGTCTGTCTGTCTGTCTGTCTGTCTGTCTGTCTGTCTACTGGTATCTATCTATCTATCATCTATCTATCTATCTATCTATCTATCTATCTATCTATCTATCTATCTATCTATCTATCTATCTATCTATCTATCTATCTATCTATCTATCTATCTATCTATCCATCCATCATCTCTCTCTCTCTCTCTCTCTCTCTCTCTCTCTCTGTCTATCTGTCTGTCTGTCTGTCGTCATGGGGGCGACTTAGAGAGAGAGAGAGAGAGGTGCTCCTGAGATCATCCCACGGGTGCCCCATGGCGAGGCAAACATCGTGGGGCTCCCAGGTGGGTCCCCTCCAAAGGTGGCCCCTGGTTATGTGTGAGAATCACCTCGCAATGCCGGCGGTAGAAGAGCTCCAGAGCCTGCAGGTCGCTGGCCTCGATCCCCTCCTGCAGGAGGACGTTGTCCGGATTCAGGACCGGGAATTCGGGCAGGACATGAGTGACATCTGCAGGGCAAGGGGAAAAAATGATTTGGGAGGGGTTTTTGTTTTGTTTTGTGTACCACTGCAGGAATGTGGGAAAAGCTCAGGGGGGGTCTTCAGCCAGCACAACATAGGGGCAACACTTCAAACCCACAAGTACACCAAGGCAGAAGCTGGTCCACCCCAAGGACGAAACACCCAGACACAAACTGAGCAACGTGGCGTGTGCACTACAATGCAGGGAGGCGTGGGCAGATCTCTGCATTGGGGAAAAAAAATGACAACTTCACAAGCTTGGGGCAACAGAGGAGAACCAACCCATCAGGAGCAGAGTCAGCAACCCATCTGCATTTGAAATAATAATAATAATAAAGTTGGAAGGGACCTTGGAGGTCATCTAGTCCAACCCCCTGCTCAGGCAGGAAACCCTACACCATTTCAGACAAATGGCTGTCCAGTCTCTTCTTAAAAACTTCCAGTGTTGGAGCATTCACCGCTTCTGGAGGCAAGGAGTTCCACTGGTTAATTGTTCTAACTGTCAGGAAGTTTCTCCTTAGTTCTAGGTTGCTTCTCTCCTTGATGAGTTTCCACCCGTTGCTTCTTGTCCTGCCTTCAGGAGCTTTGGAGAATAGCTTGACTCCCTCTTCTTTGGGGCAGCCCCTGAGATACTGGAAGGCTGCTATCCTGTCCCCCCTCGTCCTTCTCTTCGTCAAACTAGAAAGACCCAATTCCAGCAACCGTTCCTTATATGCTTTAGCCTCCAGTCCCCTGATCATCTTTGTTGCTCTTCTCTGGACTCTTTCTAGAGTCTTAGCATCTTTTTTACATCGTGGTGACCAAAACTGGATGTAGTATTCCAAGTGAGGCCTTACCAAGGCCTTGTAAAGTGGTATTAACCCTTCACGTGATCTTGATTCTATTCCTCTGTTAATGCAGCCTAGCACTGTGTTGGCTTTTTTGGCAGCTGCAGCACACTGTTAGCTCATATTTAAGTGATTGTCCACTAGGACTCTGAGGTCCCTCTCACAATTGCTACTATTGAGCAAGGTACCCCCTATACTATACCTGTACATTTGGTTTTTCCTGCCTAAATGTAGAACCTTACTTTTTCACCATTGAATTTCATTTTGTTAGAGAGCGCCCAGTGTTCCAGTCTGTCCAGGTCCTCCTGTATCCTAAGCCTGTCTTCTGGAGTGTTGGCTATTCCTGCCAGCTTGGTGTCGTCTGCGAATTTGATGAGTTCCCCATCTATCCCCTCGTCCAGATCGTTGATGAAGATAAAGTCCGCTCTTTCGAGGACAGGAAAGTGCACATTTTGGACAGAGAGGACCGCTGGCTTGAGAAAGGGGTCCAAGAGGGCATCTAGGTCCAAACTGAACAGCCCTCTCTCTCAAAAAATGAGGGGGGATACGACATCGTCTATCTCCAGTCTACAACACAGTCCTTTCCGCAGTTCCAAGAAGGCTCCACACCCATTTGCACCCCTCAGGTGACCCTGAGGACACAGATAAACCTCCAGGTGGCCTCAACGACCCTGAGAGAGAGAACTAATGAGCAGATGACTGCAAGGAATATAAAATCCTTCTCTTCCCTGCCATCCAGTCAGAGCTGAAGAAGCTTCTTGGATGAGAAGCGAAACGTCTTCAAAGGAAAAATAAGGAAGTCCAGTTTCCTCCTGAAAAAAGCATCCCTGGGATAACTACGACCTGGATGACCGAGAGTCTCCATAGACGTGTGCCACTGTTGTTATCAGGATCGGTAGGAGGTAGTTCCTGTGAATGTGGCCAATTTTTTTTCTACCGTCTGCAAAATTAGGCAGACACTAACTGCCCACTGATAATCTACCTGTCAACGCTGCTAACCTCGGATGTTCTTGCTTTGACAACAGATGGAAAGGCAGCCATTTTCCACTATTGCTTCTAGAGTTAGTTGCTGCTGAGAGGGGGAATGTGGATGAGAGTCCAGCTAGTCATAACAATAATAGCTCAGCCCTGGGAACCCAAGGACATTGGGCCCAACGGGCTGGAGAGCTGGGGAGAAAGCCTGCACTTCAAGCTAATTGGGGAATGTGATTTATGGCTGTTAATTGGAGGAGGGAATTGTGCTTTGATACTGTGTGCCCAGGGGAGGGGAATTCAGTTTTTGGCTTCGATTATGTAGTGCCGATATTATGTTACTCGAATAAAAGATTCTTTAAGGTAAACAATGCCTCCAAGTTCTTTTCAAGAGTTTCATCTGTCGGAACCATGACACTACCACTATTCGTTAATATATTACAGGTAGGCCCCCCCCCCCGACCTCAATGACCAGACTTGAGACCCAAATTTCCACTTGGCCTCATTTTACGACCTTTCTTGCCACCGTCGCTGCAGTCGTGAAGTAACAACACGGTCGTTAAGTGAATCTGGATTCCCCGTTGACTTTGCTTGTCGCAAAGGGGGAGTCACGTGACCCTGGGAGGCCGCAACCGTCGTAAATACGAGTCAGCTGCCCAGCTCTGAATTTTGAACACGTGACCCTGGGGGACGCTGCTGCAACGGTCGTTAAGTGTGAAAAATGGTCATAAGTGCTTTTTTCCCCTCCCCCAGTGCCGTTGCAACTTCGAACGGTCCCTCAATGGAACGGCGGGATTAGCTGTGCTCCAAAGCTTTGCACAAATCCAATCGCTGGCCGTCCGCCTCCCAGGTCTGCCCTGTTCACGCCTGCAGCTTCCCGCTGCCCCCCCACCCCGGAAAGTTTCTCCCAAAGCAACGGGGTTTTTTTCCTCCCCCCAGCTCGGCACAGTGAGAGAGGGTGGGAAATAAATTTAATAAGTAATCAAAATCAGATAAAACCTTAAGTGTTTTTGGGGTCCTGTGAAACGACCTTGGTGGCACACCGGGCTGGAAAGACTGCCGGAAAGAGCAGCAGAGACCCGGATCCCCGGAATTTTTTTTCTCACCGATGTACTGCTGGTGGTGCTGACACTGGGCGGCCACGGACTCCTCCGGGGTGGGGGAACTGACGGCTCCCCCCTCAGCTGCACCGTCCAACCTCTGGGAAGGCCGATACCTGCAGAACAAAAGGGGGGGGGGAAGAGGCTGCTTATACCTTGAGAAGTAGCTACGGAGGCTTTTCGAGGAAGGAAGGTTCACAGAGTAACCGAGTTGGAAGGGAGCTTGGAGGTCATCTAGTCCAACCCCCCGGCCGAAGCAGGGGACCCTTACAGAATCATGGAATGACAGAGTTGGAAGGGACCTTGGAGGTCATCTAGTCCAACCCCCTGCTCCAGCAGAAGACCCTTACAGAATCATAGAATGTCAGAGCCGGAAGGGGCTTCGGAGGTCATCTAGTCCAACCCCCTGCTCCAGCAGGAGAGTCTTACAGAATCACGGAATGACAGAGCTGGAAGGGACCTTGGAGGTCATCTAGTCCAACCCCCTGCTCAGGCAAGAGACCCTATACCTGTTTCAGACAGGCGGCTGTCCAATCTTGTCTTAAAAACTTCCTACCTGATGTTACACATTTTCACAGCTGCTAGATTGGCGTATGCACAAAATTGGAGGAATAAATGCCAACAGAAGAAGAGATCTTATACAAAATGTTATCGTGTGCCGATATGGACAGGCTCACAATGGAAATGAAGGACAAGACAGAGTCAGATTATTTTGGAATCTGGGACAAATTGTATTATTGGTGTGGATCAAGGGGGACTGTTCGGGTTATAAGCTAGTGTTAAGATAGAAATATATATAACTGTATGTTGGTATATAGAGAAATAAATTAGATATTGTATTGTATAGAAAAATATGTATGTATATATAGAGATTAAGAACTATACGTCTGAAGAGGAACAAACTGTTAGAAATACGTATACCGGAATGTTACGTTGTGTCCATTTTTGTTTTAACTGTGTTATAAATAAAAAAAACTTCTAAAAAAAACAACAACTTCCTTCCAGTGATGGATCACCCATGACTTCTGGTGGCAAGTTGTTCCACTGATCAATTGGTCTCACGGCTAGGAAATCTCTCCTTCATTCTAGGCTGGATTCCCCTTGGATAAATTTCCATCTGTTACTTCTTGTCCTGCCCTCAGGTGCTTTGGAAAATAGGTTGATCCCTAGGTGTATGTGTGTGAGTGTGTGAGTGTGTGTGTGTGTGTGTGTGGGTAAAACAGCTGGTCAGATGGAACTTCTGGAAGCTCGGGCTTTCTGGCTGGAGTGATGGGGCTTGTAGTTGACTTAACATTTTGAGGAAGTCACCCTAAGACCGTGAAATTACTCCTCTTTCAGGCTCCGTGTGTTTTGTCTTCTCTTGCCCGTTTGAAAGACCTTCTGTCATTCCGAACATCCCCCCCCCCGGCAGTTCCATGAGGACTAGCCACTTGCCCCCGCCCAAGAGCTGTCGCTAAGGGCCGGGCTCCTACCTCTGCTTCTGGTGGGCTGGCTGCTGCCTCATGGCCATGTACTGAGCATCTTCCTGCAAGCGGTTCAGGGGCGACTCCGGCTTGAGACGGATCCCGTAGTAATGGTACTTGGAGTTCCCCCTGCGGAGGATAATGGGCCACGGGTTATTTCCAGGGAGGGAGGTGGGGGCAGCCATCCCGGGAACGGGCTTTGGGGGGGTTGATGGGAGAGGGGCTAGAGGGCTCTGCAAATCCCCCCGCAAGAATCCTTCCCAGAAGTTGGTCACACACACACACACCCCACTTGGTAACAGGCTGGCACCGCCGAGGGTCTCCCCCTTGGTGCCCCAGACAGGTTGTCCTCGATTTACAACCACTCGGTCGAAGTTACGACTGAAAAAAAGTGACTTGTGAACTGATCTTTCATCACTTATGACCCTGCAGTCACGTGATCAAAAATTCGGGCGCTTGGCAAGCGGCTCCTGTTTATTAAATGTTATTATTGTTATTGTTGTTGTGGTGGTTAAATTCATTTGCTGCCTCTTTTGCCAGGCCACTCGAGGCTGTAAAAAAATGTAAAACTGCCCCCCCCCAAATAAAAAGGAAGTTTAAACGAAGCGTTCCAGCATCCTGGGATCGCTCGATCGCCATTTGCGACCCCCCTCCCCCTTCGGCTGGCTTCCGAAAAGGAAAGTCAATGGGGGACGCCAGATTCGCTTAACGACTGCATGCGATTCGCTTAACAACCGTGTGTCAACGCTGCTAACGTCGGATGCTCTTGCTTTGACAACAGATGGAAATGCACCCATTTTCCATTATTGCTTTTAGAGTTAGTTGCTGCTGGGAGGGGGAATGTAGATGAGAGCCCAACTAGTCATAACAATAATAACTCAGCCCTGGGAACCCAAGGACATTGGGCCCAGAGCTGATAGCGTTTTGGTGGGCTGGAGGGCTGGGGAGGAAGCCTGCGCTTCAAGCTAATTGGGGAATGTGATTTATGGCTGTTTATTGGAGGAGGGAATTGTGCTTTGTTACTTTGTATCCAGGGGAGGGGAATTTCGTTTTTGGGTTCAACTACGTAGTGCCGATACGTTGTTTCTCGAAGAAAAGATTCTTTAAGGTAAACAACGCCTCGAAGTTCTTTTGAAGAGTTTCATCTATCGGAACCATGACACCGTGGCCAAAAAGGTTGCAAAATGGCGGGGTGTGCGACTCACTTAACAAGCGTCTTGTTTAGCCATGGAAATTTTGGTCCTGATTGTGGCCATTAAGTCGACCACATTTGGAGGTTGAAAAGATCTCGGGAGCTCCCCCCACTGGAGAGATTGGACTCCTGCAGTCTCCATTCTCATTACCCTCTTCCTACTGAAGGGGGCGCCATGATGTTTCTGATGATATCGTGCAAATGACACGATGATGCCCAAGAGGGTTTAGAAGACCCCCCCGTCTCTTGACCTGCACTTTCCCACAGTTCCCCACAGCAAAGGCCGGGAAATCCTTCTCAAAAAGCAGCTCGGATGCCGTAGAAAAAGGCTTAAAAAAATAGGCTGGTACAGAAGCAGAAAAGCATCCTGAGTGGCTCGCAAAACGGAACCCCCAACCCAGCTCAGCTTTTCCGGGTGTGTGTGTGTGTCAAAAAAGGCAAGATGGCAGCTGCCGAAGGGGCAGGCATTCTCTGAGGAAGTGAACCACCCCCAAATATCCAGGGTCTCTCCCCGGCCCCCAACCCTTGCCAGACCGGAATGGGACAACTCGCCACAGCCAACTCGCTTGGGACAATTCAACAAATTCAATTTATTTAAAATAATTTTCATTCCGTCCCTCCTTTGGCACCCGTTCTTTAGCGATTCTATCCCACCAATTCTTTGATATTAGTGTCACTCTTGTCCTGCAGCGAGTTCTCCCGTGGCGAATTGTCCCAGACCACCCCCCTTGCAGACCTGGTGCCCAGCCGACGTGTCCTCAGGCCCATGAAGACCGAGCGGATCAGCTTCCCGAAAGAAGCGGCGTTGACCGGATCCAGCTTGTGCTCCTGGCAGTGACGGAGGTAATGGTTGTAGAGAGAGCTGCGGGGCAGGCTGACCCCTTCCGCCGTTTCGTAGTTGTCCAGCAGCCACTGCAACTGCTTGGAGGAAGGGGAGATGGGGGTGAGAGAGGAGAGGAGAGGGGAGGGGAGGAGAAGAAAAGGGAAGAGAAGAGAAGAGAGAAAAAAGAAAAAAGAAAA